GCTATTACTTAAACAAATGCTATATTTCACAATGAACGAACGATTCACGCGCTTGGCTCAATTGTCGTCTGTATCTCTGTCTGCAATTCAATTCCGATTGTTGCCGTCACTTCTTGGTGGTCTTATATACAAGAATACCGTATATCTAGTAAACACTCGAGGCTTCACGAAGGGACATGAATTTTCTAGAAGCTCATGACGTGTTACTAGCGTCACGTGACTTCTGCTGTCGTAACAACTGCCTCATATCATACTAACAATAATATTAGATTTGTTTGCAATATTTCTAAATTCACATTTTTAAAGTATTCCTCCACGAAACTATATTCTGTATTTGCACGTTGGGCTTGTTGTTGACTGCCTCATATCATGCTAACAATAATATTAGATTTGTTTGCAGTATTCATAAATTCACATTTAGTGAAGTAAGTTCTTTACAGCATAGTTATATTACTATTAGGGAAATACCAGAACCAAAAATAAGGGGTTCAGGCGACTCCCCCTTGCGTACATATTGTGCAAACCAACGCAGCTCAATGATTAAGACTACAAGAAGCCATTCCCAACAATGCAAACATTGCAAGGAATAGCAGTATTATTAATAAGATTAATCCTAAATTTGAATAGAAAATTTCACACTATAGTTATATTACCGACGAATTTAGTATATACATATATAGAACTTTTATTAAGAACTTTCAGTTTAATGACCAAATTAAATGATGAAAGTTCAATCGTCATATATCACCTTGATCTGATGGCTTTTCCTCTGTCTTTGAGTTTGACGTTAAGCGGGGCTTCTTTTTACTGTTTTTACCTTTGCTTCCTGGTGCCATTTTTATCAATATTCCATACAAAAACTTGTAACCACATAAAGCTTTGTATATGAAGTATCACAGATATAATATTTTCACATATTTTCAAACTGTCAATGTCAAGAGTAAAATTGTGAATTCAATATAGCTTACAAAGTGCAGGGTTATAACAACGAATTGGTTGCTATGATACTTCACGCCCTCTATCGTACTTTTATTATATAATACATTACCACCAGTGTAATATCAAAACGTTTTAACAATAAAATTTAAAAAGGTGAAAGTTAGTCTTAGTTAAAGGCTAGACCCCCAGCGGCTTAACAGTAAGTCTTGAAACTTAAAACAATAAAAATTGGGTTTCGATGCCCGCTGTAGACAGAAAATAGATATCCTATTGTGTAACGTAAGGCTTACCAACAAAACAAGTAATTAGTAATTAATATAGGAAATATCTTATATGTTTTCATATTATCAAAATACTGCCAGTCCGATTTTATATTTTTTATTCAATATCAAGATATTGTTACGTCTCCGTTTGTTAATTAACTTTCCGTAACTTCGTTCCGACAAGACTTTAGCGACACAAGTTCTTTAATTAATAAAACTGGTTTATTCTTTCCGAATACAACTTTACCGATACACTCAACTTCAACAATCGCGCTAAACAAACGCTATAACAAAGAACGTGCTCAATAATGCTTCTGACTGCAGATCAATTACTCACTGTCTATAAACACATCACCTTCCCCTCTTTTATATACCAGCCTACCCTATCT